TAACCTCGTCGATGCCTATTCCAGGGTGGTTCATCGAGATGACACGAGCCTGCGCTCCTACGGGCTTGGACGCTTGGCGACGCTCTGATTTCTTACCCTCCTTCAAGCCCCGACTCTTTATTGAAATACCTTGGGCACTCTGGCCATCCGTCGCATGGTCGCGTACAACCTCATATTCTCCTTTCTCGCTTGATATCTCGCCGACATCGACATCAGACGTGTCGCGCCTGTCGAACGATGATCTCCTCACCAACAGTGCGTTAAGTTCCCCTAAAACGACGGCATCGGACGACGAGAAGCCGCATCAATACTACTCGCCCAACCTCGACGATCCTATTCAATCTTCTCTATGGAAGATCACGAAGAAGACACCCAGGACAGTCGCGAGCATGGGGGGATGGGCCCTGAACCCCTGCTCGCTCCCTGTTTCCCGTGCATTCGAGGACTACGTCGACATCAACTTCTCAGACGCTTCGCTGGTCGATTCTCAGATGGACGAAGGGGCGGCGGTGGAGGAGGAGGAAGAGGAGGACTTTGAAGGCTGGTCTGATATGGGTTCAATCCCGGATGAGGTGGAGCAGGACGAAGACGACAACCACTTTCAGACGCCGCTCGTTGGGTCGTACACGGACGAAGGTGCCGATGAATACTTCGAGAGCTGGTCGGAAATGGGTTCTATTCCAGACGAGGCGGATATGGACGAGGCCACAGCTGGGCCGTCGCCTATCCGTCACAACAACGCCATCCCCGTATCCCTGGACCCATGGCTGTATGGTGCCTCATCTTCGCGCTCCATCAATTCCGATACATCATTACAGACCGAGGATTGGGCCACTCCACCCATGACTTTCATTTCTCCGGCGACGACTTTCGATGACGATCCGAAGGAGGACGGCTGGCCGTTCGAGCTGGATATCCTGGACGACGAGCGGTCTCCTGGGCTTGTGGAAGGAGTGCAGTCGGTTACCGAGTTCATTTTGGCTGGGCTTGTCGAAGACGAGGGCGACATCTTCGAAGACTCGGACTCGGACGATTCGCCAGTCGAACCAGAACCTACTGAAGACACAAACAACTGCGGTTCGTCGGACACCGGGCCCCCTATGGATCCGACGAAGATCGAGGCCTCGGGGTGGCCGAAGCACGTCATGGAGGATCTGGAGATCATCACACGTTTCGTGCTCGCTGGACTGAAGCCAGGAGAGTCCCTCGGCTTCGACGTCTCAGATGTGATTCCTGAGCTGAAGCAAACAGTCGCACCACTGGCGGACGACGATGTCCAGGACGCTGGCCTGATCTTGGTCAATACCAAAGTGGAGCCGATGTCCACCATACCGTCGCCATATCTGGGCGCCGATGTGTTCTCTGGCAGGACGCATTGCGCCGACATTCCTCGCGGGCACTCCAAGCTCAAGAAAACGGGCTGCAGCGCCAAACCCTCATCTTTCCTCAGCGGCAAGCTCGCCCTCCTGGCCGATATGGAAAATCAGCTCATCAAGAAGGGGCTGGGAGGATACATCTAAGAAGAATAATCATTGAATCACGCCCCTGCCACTCCTCTAACTCAACTCTCGTTCACATCCTCCAACATCCTCTCTTCACCTCGCCATCACGCTCGTCCCTTAAACAAACAATCACATTACTTCTGTATCTCTGACTTATTCCTCTCACCACCTTTCCATCCGTTCTACCGATCATCTTCCCTACTTCTCCATCACCCGATGCCATCAACTCAACCACCGCCAACTACTCCCTGTTCATCGCGCTCCCTTTCGCTCAATATTGTTGCCACCACCAAACGACTCAGTACTCCGATTCCGGCTGTGCTTGTCTCATGCTTTGCATGGGACTTAAGCTCCACTGTCATGTTTGACAGATGTTGAGCGCCAGCGGTACCGGAGTACGGGTAATGATGGCTAATCGTCAATGCGGGAGCATGGCATTTTCGGCATTCCCAATGTCGAAGGAGTGATTATTTATGGTGGTACTCGCGGATTCCTCAATCACGATCAATTGATATCTCCTTTCCTTTCATTTATTCTCTTGGGCGCATGTTGTACTTCTATTTTCCCCATTGTATTCCTAGATGCAATCAAATGTCCTGCTTGTGCGACGACTCAGATCTAGGTTATTCTGAGTGGCCTCAACCTCCGTCGACTGATACAAGTTCAAGCTCGCCGTCAGCGCGTGGTCAGTATGATATCGATGGTCCGTGGCCACTTTACCGATTGTCTGGTTAGTGAGAGCCAGTCGGATTAATATTTCTGTAAAGACATCGTAAGGAATAGCTGTCCAGATCGTTTATCGCACTAAAACCAGTGCATGACCGGAAAAATATAAGTTGGCAAGATCGTTCCACCGGAATATAGCGTTCCAATCTTGCGATGCTATTGGACTTGGTGAGTGACAGAGTGGATGAGTTCGTTGAAGGGGACGCAACTTCCGTCATCGTCATACGGTCTAGTTAAGCCGAAAAGCGATAAGCGATGCATACATGCGATACGTAGTTCACAGTCCAGAAGTATAGCGCAGGAACAAGAGGATGATCAGGACACAGGACACAGGACTTGACCGATCCGTGACGAGAACAGATTCTGATATTTCAAAATCATCGGACGTGCTGGTCAAGATGCAGAGTTAATTTTCAGAATAAAGCGCAGGCCAATTAGAGTCGCCAACGTGTGTATCGCATCACTGTCAAAAGCTGCTCCAGGCACAGAAAGGGACTTGTTCATGTTTTATGTTCCTGCTGCAGAAGGGCCTCTTCTCTCTCTGGGGAGCTCAATCTTGGCTCAATCTTCAAGGCGGTGAACCTAGGCCATCACCGAAGACCATCATATGACTAGTGAGTCCCCCTGGATCTTCCTAACCACGGATAGAATGCTTTTGGGTCCGGACTCACTGCACTGGTCTAGGGCTTCAACGGCGCCATTGACCCAGAGAGATGGGGACAACTTGGCTTTACATGATCAGATGATCCAAGAGCGTCTAATTCTGAGAGGTCGAGCAACCTAGTTGCATCCCTCCAATGCAGAGTGCAGATAATACGTCCCATTCAAAAGCGTTCCCATGCGCCTCAGTATCATCAACAATGAAGCAATCTATAAGGGCAGGATGCGTCCGGCTCCCGTTGATGACAACCCGGGAACTTAAACGCGGGAGGGCCGCTGGCGGCTCAAGCAACAGCGTATGATAGAGCGTTCCATCTTTCGGGAAAGGGCGCCTCGACGGAAGCTTTCCGGGGTCAACCACATTCCAGGGTCCTCTGAACCTTGATTCAATGCACTCTACAGCAACAAATGAGAACGGTGGCTCTTGTCCAAGTTAGCCATTAAAGGGCGCCCCCGTCGCCTTTGGAGGCCTTAAAAGCTCAGTATTGGGTAGGCTCTTTCTCCCTTACCAATTCCACCCACGTCGCTCCTTCACATCCTTTGTTCCATATCCAATAGGATGACATCGTCAGTATCACATTCTCTCTTTGATATCACCTCGCTTCGCTGACCTATTAAGATCTCGTTCCGCATCACCGCAGCAGCCCAGCGAACGACCTTCCTGAGGGCTTGTATCTCTGGCCCATCGACGAAGCTCAGGCAAATCGTCTCTCAGAGATGCTTCAGACCGATTTCCCCGCCATGCATATCACCGGAACTTACGTCGTCGGTCCTCAGATCAAATGTGAAGGCTGCGGCAAGCTTTCAGGCCTAGACGATTTCGTCAAGGGGGCTCTCAAGCATGGCATCCATGATACTAAATTCATGATCAACGCCCTCAAAACTAGCAGGGAGAATAGAACACCGGCACACAAGCTGGCTTGTTGCGTATGCCACAAGACGTTCCTCGAGCGTAACTCTGCAAGTGAACCATTATCACGTGTGCCCTCGTGATACTGACAACTGCTCCCCTGGTTTGTCAATAATGGTCTAGGTCATAACAACAGTGAAGCAGACCAGTTGGGCTAATTTTGTGAGTTGCATCCATCGCTAAGCTCCAATAGTTGCAAAAGCCTGATCCGGCGATTTTCTCAGGCGAAAGAGGCGATTGGGAGTGGCACTACCTTCTTCTGGACTTCTGCAGTAGAGCAGACCCCCGCGATGCGCAACTGGCCAAGGCTGAGGTGGCTGCGCAAGAGTGACGAAAACACGTCGGAGCAAGTACAAGCAGATGTCAACCCACAGGCAGAGGGAGAAGTCGGGGACGAAGTAGCTGCCAAGCGACGATGAAATATAACAGGAATCTGGTCGCGTTGCGAGGGAGGAGATGATGTGTTGGAAGGTCAACGTCACGAAAACGGGGATGCTTTTGGGGGTGAAGAGGGCGGGGGTGAGTCGAAGGTTGCTCCAGCGAAACGCCATGGGAGTTTGGACGCGTCATGAGGAATGAGGAATGAGGGCTCTTGGAGCGCCGGGCCGCCACTGGAGGCTGAGTGTATAACCACCCCTCATGTTCAACTTTTCAAATCTCCGTGCACACTACATAATAATAGTTCATATCAAACGCACCTGTCCCTTTCCAACTCTTTAAACCATCCTTTACCTCTGGTCATTTCGGGTCTATAACCGCTTGCAAAGCCCGTCTCTACCGACTGAGCCATACTTGGTTGTTGCGTCTCGATTCCATGTTTTTGACGATCCTCTGCATTTGCGAGTGGCACTTATGATGGTGAACATCGGCTAGTATCAACGCGATGCTTTCGTGTTACGGGATTGCGCCGATCAAATCCCAGTGTCACCCCCTTGAGCGACTTTGGAAGGTGGTGCTGCATGGCAAATGGTATTACCGAGAGTCGGGCCGCATCATGGAGGTGATGACAGGTCCAGGAGCAACTAAAAGAATGCTTCGTCTGCAGTAAGGTCTGTTTTGTTGTATCAGATGCTTGAGATATTCTCCCTACTTGAACCAGGAGTGGAGCGATAACTGTTGTTAGAAACCAAGGCTTTCTTTCAATTCAGCTGGGTATAATTTGTTGGCAGTCATAGATAATTACTCCTGAATTCCTCTATCAAGGGGTTCTAGCTCATCGGTAGAGCGCTCCCTTAGCACTGCGATTTGATGCAAACTGCGTGGGAGAAGTAATGGGTTCGACTCCTATGTACTCCATCTATTTTTTTTTTTCCCTGGACAAGTTCAGAACACATCCGCCGGAATCGGTGTTTTTTGTGACGATCAAGTCAGACAGTAATACTCCAATTTCCTCCTGGCCTAATACTTGATTGACTACTCTCCATTCAATTGCCTCCGATTTGCACCACAACCATAGCTTAATCCGCGGTTCTGTCTCTGCGATCTGCGTTATGACATACCTTGCGCAAAATTTGAACTTGAGCAACTGCCAGTGACTTGGATAAACCAAAAGCATAGCAATACAAAAATACAGGCCCATACACCGGTGATGTGAAGAAAAACAGCCAGCAGACACATGTAAATAACAATTGATCAGTCACGAAAGTGAGGTGAGAGAGGAATCTCGTTGGAATGAACCAGACCAATCAGCAGACTCGGCATAAGAGGGATCGGCACGACCACGAGATCCGGGAGTCGAGGGGTCAAGATCGTCTGCGCTGATGACACTCGCCGTCGACAGATTTGAAGGGGTCCTCCGTATAGATTGTTCACCGCTGACGACTCGTCTCCCGACCTTGATGATCTGCCGTATACGATTCCGCTCCACGTCCTTCATGTCTTCAAGAGTCTCAAAGTTTCGGATGAGGTCCTTGACGGATCCAGTCGAGCTCCGTCTCGATGTCGTAGACGAGGAAGGGCGAGGAGTCTCATTCGGTGGGACGGGACTGAGAGAGACGAGGTCCTTTGGATGAGGTGGTCGCGGAATAGGTCGCGGTGGCTCTGGTTCGATATGGTTGAGATCTTCCTTGGACCGAGCCTTTCTCAGCAGCTCTGCAATTGGAGAGGTTGGTTGAACCCGCTTGCGGGTTAGGCGGTGGGACTCAATATCATCGTCGTCATCATCCACTAGAATCGGCTGTGGCGTAACGGCTTTGCGCTTCTGCCCCGCTATGGTAGCGGGAGCCACAGGAGCCGGTTTCAACCTGAGGATATTGCCCAACCCTAGGAATCCCAAGACTCGATTGGTGGTAGAAGGCGTATCAAGGGGTGGAGGCGTACGACGAGCTCGTGCTGGTGGGGGAGGCGGTGGAAGCATCTCTGTCCGTTTCTTGGTCGTAACAGAGGTAGGGGCAGAAACTTTCCTCCCCGTGGGGCGTGGTAATCTTGAGGGGGGGAGAGGAATGCGAGAGGTGGATGAACTTCGGGTGATGGTGGTTTTGGCGCGAGTGGGGGCAGGAGAAGGGCTGTCGTTCAGCCGGCTGGTGGGTAACGTGGGTTTGACGCCAGTAGGCTCCACGGAAGCATTGAACCCAGCGATCGTGGCCGCCTCCTCGTACAAGTGGCAGAAATGAGGCGCCAACAGAGAAGGTGGGAGCGGAACTGAAGGGCACAGTGGAGCACCCTCGAATGACTGGACTTGATTTTCCATCTCCGTGCTTTGATCCTCAACAGCCTCATTCGGAACAAATGATATTGGTGTAGATTGGCGGCTGGGAGCAGGGGAGAAAGGAATTAACATCGGAGATCCAGGAGTCAATCCGAGTGGCACTGAGGCGGATGCCTGCCTAGTATGGCGCACGACGAGAGCTTGGCACCGTCGACGGATTTTGTCCCTGTACCCGATGAAGAAACAAACAGTTAGAACCCCGGGTCCGGCAGTTACATGGAATGGTAGCCTCACATTGCCCAGTCGCCTCCTTCCTCGGACGCATCGACGTCTACCTCATGCAAGAAGTGCCAGATCACTTGCTCCACATCCACAGAGGCAACGTCCACCTGATCCTCGTCCAAACCTTCCTCGTCAGCCAGCGCCCGTCGCTCCAATAACAAGCACCTTTCCAAGGTCTTCCAGTCCGCTTTACTCCATGACAACGGGATAAGACCATCTGCACAATCACTCTCTGAGGATGCACGGGCGTCGTAGTCCGACGGACGAGAAGAGGCGGGATCGATGATGATTTCAGGAATCACATGTCCTGGTTGAACAGGGGTCGTATAGCTCGCGTTGAAGCTTTTGAAGCGAGAAGGTCCTGCCTGAGGCGTGGATGGCTCGAGAGACATCAGACGACGGAGGACGGGGCTGGAAACAGAGACCTCTCTCTCTGCGCGACGCAAGATATCGGATGGAACTGGGGTCGCTCGTATGGAGTCCGGTATGACGATTGATCGACGATTCGGTGGCGTTGCGGAGACGAACGAGGAGGAATAGGCGCCAAAGTCGACGCTCGCTTCCGAGCCACGCCTGCGACGACGCATTTTAGCTTCATCTTCAATGTAATCGTGATGCTTTAATAGATCAGTCAAGGCTCTCAGTATGATCGTGGGTTTATATATGACAAGCAATGGGACGTACAAGCTTGAGAATCGCAGCAGCTCGCGCAGCGACCATCGGATCTTTGCTCGTGATTTCGACGACTGGAGGCCCATCGTCGTCGGACTCAGACTCGGATCCGCTATTTCCATCCTCATAAGTGGTGTTCGTCATTCCGTGGACAACGCGAAAGCCAAGACTCTCTTTGTTGACCGATTGTTCTCCTGCCATGGTGGCTTGAGAAAGATGACGATAAACATCGGGAACAACATCCTCGCCTACTCCATGCGGCCCGCTTGTAGTATTCACTGCTGTGGCGGGATGCTGGTGTTCTTCGGCTGACGGCCCATTGCAGCCCTTCTGGTTTGGCGAGAACTGTTCATCGTCTGGTCGACCCTGTTGTAATAGTTGTTGGACTTCCGCCCGTACGGTAATTGCGGTCCCAAAGCCCAGGGCATTCCGACCCGAGGAAGGGGACGACTTCTCATTCTCGTCTTCCTCCTTCGGTTCGACATCCATCATCGTCTTCGCAACCACTGGTGAGCTGGACGACATGAGCGAGATCTGTTGATCCGTGGCGGGCTTCTCATCTTCTTCCATACGATCACCTCCATCTTCCTCCTCACCAGAGAAATCCTCAGTGAGCTCTCGTTCGATTCGCAGCGAGTTCCTACGTTCCTCCTCGTCCTCCTGTTGTTCATAGTGATCGAATCCATCGAACTGGTCGTGATCAGGATGATAATCCTCATCGCTGTTGGGATCTCCCTCCAAATCCTCGGCTCCCACGGAAAGTCCGCTGTCGGCATCAATGTCGACGTCAATATCCATCCATCCACCACGCGGTCGGAACTGCGGCACAGACTCCTCAACATCCTCAATGACTTGCCTGGAAGGTCCCACAACGATAGCATCATCTTTAGCTTTCTCCCCTTCTCTTCCGCCTTCGTCTTTCAATTTTTCGGCCTGAAAGAGCGGTTGGCTAAGGGGCGTCATTGACTCCTCTTCGAATTCATCCAGTCTAGGAAGCCTCCCTCGCGATGGGCCACGACCTTTCTCTGGAGATAGACTGCCCAGTTCGGTGCCCATATACCGCGGTGAGGGGTAGGCGGGACTCCCATTTGGCAACAGAGTCTGTTTGAAGGGGGTCTTTAGTGGAGAGGTGATGGAGAGCGCACGACTACGTCGCAAGATAACGCTGGCAGGGGGAGTGGCTGGCGCGATTCGCAGCAAACCGGGGCTCGCTCGTGTTATCGAGGGGACGGAAGCTGATGGTACGATGCCCTGCCGCGACGCTCGTAGGGTAGCGAAAGACATGGTTGCTGATGTACTGATTGGGCGAAAAGTGTCATCATTAGAATCGGCTGTCATATGGTCGTGGATACGCTGTCTTGGTCTTCCTGGGGAGTGTTCAAGCATCGTTCCCGGCGTCTCTTCCCGCTGCGAGACTGCACTTGAGCGTCTACGGCGCGAAGGTGGCGAAGCCGTCCGAAGCGGCACAGTAAACTCGTGAACAGGCTCATCCCCTTCGATGTCCATGCCCGAGAATGAACTATCGGGATCTCTTGACACACCGCAGTCAAACGCCAGAGCCAGATCGTCATCATCATCGCTCACGCCCTCCTGAATCAGAAACTCTGGAAATATGGGGCGACTTGGTTGAGATGACGAGCTTGCGCGATCGTCATGTCGAGCACGCGCCGCGGGTGGCGTTGGTGATGGTGAGGTTGACGCTCGCCACGTAGGTTCAGCCGCCATACGATGACGGTTCTCAGCCATCCGACCAGCAGCCAGACTTCCCTCCTCCACTTCCGTCTTGACCTCGACGTTATCGAAGTCGCCTCCAAACATGGGCTTCCACGGAACGGGAACCCACGTGTCTGCGCTTACCAGCAAAAGCGGATCATCTCCATCGCTATCAGGCTCCGGGATAGCGTCCAGGTCATGCGGTCGAAGTTTACGTTCACAGCGTTGGCCGTTGGGTGCGCTCTTACGACGACTGCGAAGGGATGCTGCGTTGACCGAAGTCGTCTTCGTCAAAGCTTTCGCTCGCGTCGGAATCTTCTCCGTCTTGGGCGCGGATCTGGTCACACGACGCGCGGGGGTGGCCGTCACTTCAGATACTCCTTCATCGTCCAACTGCAGATGCTGATGAGAGGGTGGTTCCCGGTTGCTCTTGCGGGGCGAGGTCTCTCGACGTGCATTACGCTCCTCCGCGTCGCTTTCCCCCGCGTCTGACATTACTCGGGTCTTAAGCTGCTTGCGCGCCTTGGGATTTGGTGATGCAACCTCTTTGGGCGCTGTGGTTGTTGCCAATGTTCGCGTTCGTTTCCGCCCTGTAGTAGAACCTTCAGCCTAGACCAGCGCAAGTAACATTGAGCTTCCATACTAGACGAATTCAAATACTAGATTATGGGAACGTACCTCGTCCGAATGTGATGACGCGCTCGCGAACAAACCGCCACCTGCTCTGCCTGTTCGACTCTCTGGAGGAGAAGGTAACTGGTGTTCGCCTTTCTTGTTCGAAGCCTTCCCCCTTGTCCCACCTGTTCGTCCAGTCTGCTTTACCGTCGCCGAGTCAGCAAAATCTTCCCTATTCTGCCTGGAACGCAGAACACGACCCGTGACTTCAGACGGCGCCTCTAACTGTTCCGTGACGTTCAACGAGTTGGGCGTTCTCTGGGACTTCCGGGACCCCTTTTTTGAGAGCCCCTTGTCCTTGCTTGGG